CTCACTTGGTAGCCCAGGCTGGCCTCGAACTCACAGAGATCCGCCTGGCTCTGCCTCCCGAGTGCTGGGATTAAAGGCGTGCGCCACCACCGCCCGGCTCATATATATATTTTTTATTAAGAGATTTTCTATACATTTTACATACCAACCACAGATTCCCCTGTCCTCCCTCTTCCCACCCCCAAGCCTTCCCCCTCAATTTACCCCCTACTCCTTCCTCCTCTAAGGCAAGGTCTCCCATGGGGAGTCAGCAGAGCCTGGTACATTCAGTTGAGGCAGGTCTAAACCCCTCCTCCCTGCACCAAGGCTGTGCAAAGTGTCTCACCATAGGCACTAGGCTCCAAAAAGCCGGCTCATGCACTAGGGACAGGTCCCGATCCCACTGCCTGGGGGCCCCCTAAACAGTTCAAGCTAAACAACTATCTCGCTTATCCAGAGGGCCTAGTCCAGTCCCATGGGGGCTCCTCAGCTATTGGTCCACAGTTCATGTGTCTCCACTAGTTTGGCTAGTTGTCTCTGTACTTTTTCCAATCATGGTCTCGTTATCTCTTGCTCATAGAATCCCTCCTCTCTCTCATCGATGGGCTCCTGGAGCTCCACCTGGGACCCGGCCATGGATCTCTGCATCTGCTTCCATCAGTCACTGGATGAGGGTTCTATGATGACAGTTAGGGTATTCAGCCATTTGATCACCAGAATAGGCCAGCTCAGGCACCCTCTTGACAATTGCCAGTAGTCTATGGTGAAGTCATCCCTGTGGATTCCTGGGAACCTCCCTAGCACTCTGCTTCTCCCTATTCCCATGGTGTCTTCATTTATCATGGTATCTCTTTCCTTGCTCTCCCACTCTGTTCCATTCCAGCTAGAAACTCCCTCTCCCCTAAGCTCTCATTACCCGAGTGGGGGGTTTTGTTTCTGATAAATTGAGATTTCTCTTTCACAGTCTGTAATCTGAGATCCGGAGAAGGAACAGCTTAGAAGCTTTAATATCTTTATTCACTCACATGGGAAAGGGCCCAAAAAGTGAGCCCCAGATAGCGCCAACTGTGTGGGAGAGGCAGGACCTTGAAGTGTCCAAAGTGAGGGAAGCGGCTCTGTGTGGGTGAGGGTAAGTCAAGCTGGAGTTCTGCAAACGAGGATGTGGGGTGCTTACACAGAATGAAAAGTCAAGGTTGCAAATTTTGCTGGAGGAAGCTCAAAAGGGGAACTGAGTGGTGAACAGGGGTAGCAGTGGGGGTGGGAAGCAGTTCAGAGCAGGTGGACGGGATAGCCTTTTAGGCTGCTGCTTAGGACAGGATAGCCTTTTAGGCTGCTGCTTACCTTCTGTTTTCCACATCTGCTGTAGCCAGATGGTAAGACGCTATCTCTCCACCCTGCTGAGCCAGAGTGATTAAAGCACCCAGTCTTTGGTCCCCTCTGGAGAAACCAAATTGCCCTGTAGCAATAGCAATTAGCTATTTCTCCTCTCCCCTCCCCTCACTTACTGGGAAACTTTATCTTTGACCCCTTAGTGGGATTATATTGATATCCTCTTTAAATATTGACCAGAGATTTCCCCCTAATCCCTAAGGCTTTTTCCCTACAGCTGACCATACTAAGAGGTTTCTCTAATAAATACCTGTTTTCCTCCCATAACTTTAATTAATAATTTTACAACTTTAAGAACAATTGCATTCAAAGGTGAAAAAAAAAACTTGGAGTTCCTTCATTCTGTCATTTTTTCTTTTTAAAAGAGGATTTATTATTTTATTTTATAAGCATTTTGCCAGCATACATCAATGTGGTACACATGCATGCCTGGTGCCTACATAGGAGCAACACATATTTTTTTGTTGTTGTTGTTGCTGTTGTTTGTTTTTTGTTTTTTGAGACAGGGTTTCTCTGTTTAGCTTTGGAGCCTTTCCTGGATCTCGCTCTGTAGCTCAGGCTAGCCTTGAACTCACAGAGATCCACCTGCCTCTGCCTCCCGAGTGCTGGGATTAAAGGCGTGCGCCACCACTGCTCAGCTACAACACATACTCTTAATCATGAAGCCATCTCAATATTGAGATGGGTCTCTCTATGTAGTCCTGGCTTTCCTGGAACTTACTCTGTAGAGTAAACTCAGAGAGCCAACTGCCTCTGCCTCCTGAGTGCTTAGATTAAAGGCATGCACCACCACTGCCCTGCTGTAATTATATTCTCTAAATAACACAATATTAATGTTTGAGTCTGTGTCCTTGTGTTTATAACCGTATCAAGACAGTCCAGGCATAGTGGTGCAGGCCTTTAATCCCAGCACTTGGGAGGCAGAGACAGGCAAATCTCTGTGAGTTTGGGCCAGCCTGGTCTACATAGTAAGTTCCAGGACAGCAGGATTACATAGTGAAACCCTGTCTCAAAAACCAGAAAAAGAAAGAAAGAACGACAAAACCATATCAAGGTACACACTTTAAATCATAGATATACAAATCAAACTACAGAAGTTATAGAAGTTAATAAAACAAAAATAAACTGAAAAAGCTTACTGAGCAAGCCTGATAACCTGGGTTGGACACTCCCCCTCCCCCAAACATGGTCCAACTTCTACATGTGGTTCTTACAAGTGTGCGCGCACACACACACAAACACACACACACACAAATTTGTAAAAAATGTTTTAAAAAGTTAATAAAAGGAGACTAGGATGGCCGCTCAAGCCTGTAATCCCTGCACTAGGAGGCAGAGGCAGGAGGATCAGGAATTCAAGGTCATCCTTGGCTACTTACTGACCTTTAAACCAGCTTGGGATATGTCATATTCTGCTTCAACAAAGGAACAAAACAAAAAGAAAACCAGTTGACAAAATAAAATTGATGTCATTAACGTGACAAGCGACGTTCGAATGGTTTAAAACCCCCAGCAATTAGAGCGGAAAAGTACCCACAATCTTCCTTCTCCTCCTTTTTATCATTCTACCACGGCGTCACCTGGTGCCCACATACTCTTCCCCGACACAAAACATGCGCGCGAACATTCACAGCAGCATTACGGCATGCGTGTAGAAACCACCCAGGTGTCCATCCACAGATGATGTGGCTGGAAGGGGATTCCTGCAGAAGAAGGAATGAAGTCCTAGCTGGCAAAACAGTCACTAAGTGCCGCTGGCAGAGGCCCCTGGGCATAGTTGACAGCCGTGCCGAGCGTGCCCCGCTGCCTTCCCGGGTCCGCGGAATAGTGATTGGCTGAGCTCAGTTAGAGGCGGGGCGAGGCTCGGCGGGGCGGGAGGAAGCCTGCTCTCGCGAGATCGTCTTGGTTCCGCATTTCGGCTCTCCGGAGTGTGGGAGGCAGCTCGGCCGGACTCGGCGGTGTGTGCTGGTTCGCGGCGGCCGCTGGACCCCGACCCCAAGGCCGGGCCCTGAAGCTTCGGCGGCCCTGCTTCGCCGCGGACCGCCCTCC